ACCAAATTTAACTCAATCCGAACCCAAATGATTCTAAATGAAAGACCCGAAGCATATTTGGAAGGTTCAAACCATAATTTGGATTACAAGACGGTTTCCAAACATGACATGCTTATAGTCGAATCGAGTGGCTAGACAAGACAAATCCAACGAGCCCAAGAAGATCGCCGAATTTTGATATCACTAAGACATTTAATTGCTCAATAAACGGTCCACGATCAAGAAATTTAACACCGGTCATCTATTCAAATCATTCCCAATTTAATTTCCTATTCATTTACATTTTTTTCTTTATTGATATTAGCTTAATCTTATATTGATTTGATCTTAAAGAGATTTTATGATTTTTTTTGTGCAATGAGATTTTTAATATCACGTATTTAGTTAATATATTAAACATGTTCTAGCAAAAATCTAGTGATTTGATGATTGAAGTCATTTTTGTGAATGAAAAAATAAAATAATTAACTACCAAAGTTTTATCATTTTTAATATTGATTTTATTGGTCCTATGTCTGGATGTAAAAAGTTGAAGGAAAAAAAAAATTTAGGCCCCCCTAGATATATTTTCTGGCTCCGCCACTGGTTATGGGGAGTGAACGTAGGCCAAGTTAGACTGAACCACTATAAAATCTGGTGTGTTTGTTCTTATTATTTTTTGCTCTTTATTTTTTATGTGATTAACTATGTGGTAAAACTTAATTTTCTTGTTATTGTGAAGTTAATCTATTTCTACATTAGGGGATTAAATTATTATTTTTTAGATATTAAAATATATATAAAAAATATCTTTTTTAATTAATTTTTTTATTTTATAAAAAGAATAATTCACTCCCCCTATTGGTTAGCCTCGGGTTGGTTCCTTGAGGTTTAACAACCTAAATTTCACATGTAAAACTAAACATTTTCGTCATTGAACTACACTGAGATCATAATACCTACATCGGGGTCCATTTTTTCCCAACCTATGTAGGTATTATAATATTGCCACCAATCATCTAATAAGGCATTTATTAGGCTTAATAATTTCTCATTAATTATTTGACCGGTAATTACATGCTTTATGACTAATATAAAAGGCATAGGTAATACAATGATTATATATAAGGAAAAAAGGAATGTAGTAGATAACTCATTATTTTTTCCTAAAATACTATCAGTTAGAAAAAACATTTATATAATTATAATAAACTTGATTTTCAGCTTGAACGTGTATATATATATATATATATATATATATATATATATATATATACGTGTGGAGGATTTTTTTAAGTTTACTTTTGGTTATCATTATGAAATAATCGATTAGACTAATTTTGGTTATCTTTGAGAAATATTTTGGGTAATAAATTCTCTTTTTAATGTTTTGTTTTGAAATTAAGAAGAAATTTTTTTTTTTTAAAGGTTTAAAAAGCAAACAAAAAAATCTTATTTGCTTTTGATTTTTTTTGAATATTTGTTTCTCTTAAACACTTTTGTATATCTCATTTTTTATCTTAATCAAAAGATTTTCAAAATATAAATTGAACCTCCTCCCCCACCCTTAGCGTTCCATAAGCACTTTCACTTTCTAGTAAACCCAAGCTTAGGTTAAGATATCATCTTTTGAAGTATTTTATTAATTTGACCCAATCATATCTAGCATGTCCTTTTATAGACACTCATAGACCTAAGAATTCATTTCCACTTGGGTTCCTCACTTTATTGTTCCATAAATATTATAGTAAATGAAGGCCTTGGCATGTAAACCTAGGTAAGGCACCATGTTCTAGAGACATCCTAATTTGGTCATTGAAAATCTTTAGGACCTATTCTAGCCTCAATTAGACACTTATAAGCCTAATAATTCTTCTCAAGTTTTCCTTGATCTACTATGCTATAAATGTTTGAGTAGATTAAGGCCTTGCATAATAAATATATATAGGGGTCAAGGTTCATGAGACCTTCATATTTAGTTATCAAAAACTATAGTCTAGCTTAGCCCTCTTTATACATTTATAAACCTACCCTTAATCCTTAAAAAAACAAGCTCTATCAAAACTTCCTTTAGTATCCTTACCCCTTTATATATAGGATAATTGTACTTAAAACACATATATATCCATTTTCCTAATGGGTTTCTTGATCTAGTATAAATATTATAGTAAATCCAAGCATTGTCTAGTAAATATTGATTAGGAATAAACTTCTTAGGCCCCATTCCTAATATAACCATTGAAAATACTTAAGAAAAGAAAATCTTAAGATCTAGCTTAACCCTATTTAGTCATTCATTGATCAATACTCCTTAAGGGTTCCTTAATATATTATGCCATAAATATTGCAGAAGATTAAGGCATTGTCTTGTAAATTTTGGATAACAATAAGCCTACTATGCCCCTTTTCTAATGTAACCATTGAAAACCCTTAAGAAAACTTAGGATCTTGCCTAATCCTATTAGATATCTAAAGATCCATCCTCCTTATGGGTTTCTTGGTCTACTATGCTGGAAATTTTATAATATATTAGGTCCTAATAAATAAATCTTGGTTAGTAACAAGCCTCCAAGGTCACTTTTCTAATGTAACCATTGAAAATTTATAGAAATAGCTTTTGGGATCTAGCCTAACCCAGTGTAGGCATCCATAGATCCACCTCCTTATGGGCTCCTTGATCTACTATGCCACAAATGTTATAGTAGATCAAGTACTTGTCTAATAAATTTGTGGTAGGAATATATTAATGAAATGAATATATTATCATACAGATCTTGATCTTAATGCCATAAATCAAATTAATTTATCAAAGTTTTTATTATCTGACCAATATAAATAATTTTAAGAATTATTTTAGTTTCTATTAAGAAAATGGTGATGGTGGACCATTATTTTAATAATGGATACCATTAAAAACAAAAGCATTATTAGAAAAGTTGTGCAAAATCAAACATCTTATCACAATCAAGCATTGCATGTGCAATTTTATGAAAAACGTTGATGGTGATAACACTGATAGATTTGCACATGCATAAACTCCCATTATATGCAAAGGAGAAGCTTTCCTAGCTATATTGGCAATTTATATACAAGTTGGGTCAATTCATTCAACCACTTCATTGTAGTGCTTTGTGGATATTGATATTTTTGCAACAAGATGATCATTTTGATGATGATTTTAATTACTTAGAGCTAATTTGATATATGAATTCAAATCTAAAACAAATAATAATCAATTAAATTTTCTTTCAAGTTCATTGATATTTATGCTTCATGTTAAAAAGTTTGTATAATCATTCAAGTCATCACAATGGCATTCATTCTAACAAATTAATTTAAGTCCTTTGGAGCTCATTTGTTTTTTAAATTAAAATTTTTAGAAACTTCAACATTTGGGTTAATCTCCTTCGTATGATTATGATTTTGCTGCCACAAAATTGTACTTGATCAAATGAAAATTTTGGAGATCCCAATAAAATTCAATTTGCTCGGGCATGATAAGGACAAATTTCCAATTATATCATTCAAACTTTTCAAGTGAAAATAGAGCAAGTCAAATTTTACTTTCCTAATATTCTAAACTCTTAAATTTGAAATACCATTTATAGTATCATCATTCAATCATGATTGCCTGATTATGAAACAACATAAATTATGATATCTCAATATCTCAACAACATGATTATTTTGACAAATAAATTATATTATTTATAGCTCATATGATCTCAAAATTAATTTTCGAAAAAAAAAATCAATCACTACCCACTGAATCCCTTATTAGGCTTTTTTTTAAACTGTTTCTTTTTAAAATAATTCTTAATACAAAAATTTATTGAGTTAATAATTTTTATATCAAAACCCTATTTTTTTTTAAAAAAAAATTATCTCAAACAAAACAATAATTCTCTAAAATATATAATTTGCTTTAAAAAATTGCATTACTTCCATTTTCAGGTGGCATGATAAAAACTTCTTTTTAAATTATAATAATAAAAAACCAATCCAATCGAAATTTTGAAAAAAAAAATTATATTATTCCATCAAAATCTTTCATAATAGATTCTCAAGAATAAATTTCAAATATCATTTGAGACATCATAATTAAGAAATAATTACCAACATAAATTGAGTTACAGCCCAATAGCAAAGAGATGCCAATCAAAATCCAAATAATTTGTGACTTTCATCCTCCAGCAACACCTTGATTTAATTATAGCCTGATAACTAAATTCATGGATGAAAATATTGCTTGGGATGCAAAATCAAAAGCTACATTATTATTAAGGATTAAGGAAAAGATTTTATTGAGATCCCAAAAATCAATGCAGATTAACCTAATAGATCTTCCTCACTAGGATTACTTCTAAGAATTCCTTTATATATATCCCAATGCAGAACACATCAAGATGGAATTCAAAAGTCTTATATTTGTACTGAGATTAAGATAATTCAAAAAATATATACAACACTAATATAAGGGTGTAAGTGAGCCACGCCGGCTCGACTCGTGAGCTCGCAAGCTGCCTCAAATAAATATTAATATTTTTAAAATAATTTTATTTTATTTATTAAATATAAATATAATAATAATCACCTAATTTTTATTTAAATGTTAAACATTTCATATATATATTTTAAATTTTATCTAAGTTTTAAAAATTCAACCTAATTTTTAAAAATTTTAAAAATCCCACCTAAATTTAAAAATTCTCACCCATGACTGTCGAGCCAGCTCAAGCTCGTTTCAAGTTTATGAGCTCGAGTTCGAGGTCAACTGTCAAGCTCAATTCGAGCTCGCTTTCCATGAAACGAACCGAACTCGATAAGGGTCTAAACTCGACTCATTTCGTTTACACCCCTACACTAATATTAACGTAAAGTAAAAAAGCAACAAGCCCATCTTGACATATTTTACAACTTCATTTGAGAAGGATTTCATCCAACTTCTTAAAATAAATTTTTAATGTAAAAAAAATTATTTATTTTTTACTAGAAAGTGGTTTTAAGCAGTAAGAAAATCATTCGAAATGAAGCCTAAATCATGTTATCCAATGTATAAAATTTTACCATACATTTTTGTGCAACAAAGCAATCACTCACTGATCAATTACAAAGCATTAGGATTCTAGCATCTTTCCGGCCAACATTCATAATAATAATAATAATAAATTTAGCATTTATGGCCAACAACTCTAGATACTCTATCAAAGAAAACAGGACACATGGCCAAGCCGAAAACCATGTCATCTTTCATCCATTCGAGAGCCACATTCTCTATAGTTCCCAGTGAAGAAACTCGATAAAGCAACTTTTCGTCTCGTCCGTCGCTGTCTCTCATCAAGCTAAGAGTGAACTTAAAACCTGGAGGACCAGTTAACAGGAATTAAATAATGAACATACTAAAAAAGTTCAATATTGATCGCAGTGAGAACAAATTTAACAGCTTAACAATTTTCATTGCAGCTATGATTCGTATATGACAAACTATTTGATGAATAAGTTTGAACAGTCAATTGATCACAAAAAGGAAATGGCATACAGGTCAAAACTGAACTGTTAATGCTGGAAAATAAAACCACCGTAGCCGCTGCAGGGGATCTCATGGAAGTCGTGCACCATCACCACCACCTCTTAAAATTGTTTAGTATTATTCTCATATTTATGTTAATGACAAATATTTATAAAAACAGAAGATGACTAAAATAAATGAAGAAGCATACTGGGAGGCATTGTACTCCACATGATGAGGTAGCAGAAATAGCACTTTATTATGATAATGACTCAAATAAAGATCCTCTCAATGATGACAGTGCATGATTTACGAGTTAATGCCAACTATTTTATTTTTTTTAAGGAATTAAATGTGAATGGGTAGGGAATTGAGAAGGAAGGAATTTAAAGTTGAACTTGATATTATATGATATCTTTATGTAATTCCTATATTTTATATTGTTTTGCTCTTGTAATATTTAGAATTCAATTTTATTTCGTGAAATTTATCACTTGCCAATTATATCTCGTGTAATTTTTTGTTTTATATGTATGACAATTTGTTACTCTATAGTTCAATACAAAGTTAATATGTTATCCTTTAACATAGTATTTGGGTATTTATAAAAAAAAAAAAATACTTGTAACAATTATTTTCACTTTATGTATTTTTTTTAATTTTGAGGCTTATGTCTCAAAACGCCTTGAGCTTCAACGCCTCGTCTCATAAATAAAACCGACCTCAATATCCAATTGTGCAATGTTAAACCTTGATATCAAGTGCATTGTTTGTTCGGACAAATGCCAAAACAGTTAATTTCTTGCAAAAAAATAAATGAATGTTTTTTTATCTAAAATTTAAAACCTCATTCCTACAATATAGAAAAAAGAGAACCAAAAAAAGAGCAAGTAAATGAGTAATATGTATAGATGAGGCTAGTCATATTTAAAAGATTTTTTCGTTGAATTGTGAAAGCATTAGCATTAGCATTATTGATCAGATTGTAAATGGCAAACTATGCAAAGATAGTCCTCTGTTCAAAGATATATTGAACAAGCAAAATCATAATTACACCTACAATCTTGGTTTTGAATGAATCTAACCTGTTTAGATGGTTTGTTAAGTCTCAAAAAGATGACCTTAAGTTTTGTTCTATAGAAAATTATCACTCCATCAGTAGTAAAAACTAAATAAATTGATATACAACATCAAGAAAAATGGTCGTAGATTGCAGAGACAAAATTTGCAATATCAATAATCCGCATGCATATGGTGTTTTGCATGATTTGATCAAAAACTACAAAAAGGAACAAAATCCACATGTTAGGTCAATTCGCTTTAGAGAACCAATTCATCGGAGATTTAAATTAATGTAATATATGGGTTTCAGGAAAGGTTTCATGAAATGAAGAGTCACTATGAAAATGATGGTTATGCTTAACTAGTTAATGAAGAATTGAAAAAGTTTCATATGATTTTTATTATCATGAAAAAGGCATACGATTAAGCAAGCACCAATGAAATAATAACTAGTAGACTTCAAGCTAGTTGATTATAATATAGTCGAATTTTAAAAGTACAATGCAATTAGATAATATCTAAAGTTTAAGAAGGAAATGAGAAATGAGATAGACCTAAGATAACATAAAACGGGCTATTGAAGAAAAAACCTCTTTCAATTGTGTTTCTAATGAAGAAAATGTAATGAGTTTTTCCAAAAGTATGTTGATATAACCAGAGTTTCCATGGACCATAATTAAAAACATTGGGGCTTATTTAGGTTTTGAGATCAAGAATTTCTATTTGCGCGAGAACTTGTAGCTAATCCAACTTTCTACCGAAAGGCCACTTTCAACAAAGGAAATCGCATGGCTCTAGGTTTCAAAACAATCGCTACAGATTTATGGTGTTTTGAATATTCATTTCTTGATGTTATGCTAGATATATGGAGCATAACTATGGGAATAAATGGCAGATCCTACAGAGCTAAAATGTTTTCATTATCTTAAAGATAGTTCTAATTAGCTATTAATGATCCTTGTTAGACTTACCTCATTATTTGGACTTTCTCATGATCTTTAGTGATCTTCCTTATCTCTATTTAGCATGTATCTCAACTTTAAAGCTGTTATGTTGGCTGACTCTAACTCCTAAATGATATTAACTTGAATTTAGTTTCTGTCAATTACTTCTAATCCTTTTTATAAGTATTATTGCATATATCGCATGCAATCTAATTAATTATATTAATTATATGGGCATTATATATCTACTAATATTCAGACACACAAATGATTTTATAATTAATACTATTCATCATCATATTAATCCAATTTGATTAAATCTAGTGCATGCATTTTAGTTTAGTTAATGCGTAGTATAACATTATCATTGGCATGCTAATGTAATTTGAATAGATCTAATTGCATGCATTTATTTTTTGCAATCCTTTTTGCTTTCAATGACCACTTGATTTATTTTATAACATGTAAAAAATGTCTGGAACAACTAAAAAAGTATATTGATAGTCTTGCACAAAATTAATATTTTGAAAGATAAATCAAATAAACATGCTACACAAATGGACACTCTCGACTCCACTCCTACATTCCATGCATTCCATAAATCACATGACACGGTAATAAATACGACAACAACAACATCAAGGTCAAGAATTAAGACTTAGTCATGTCCATTTCTAGTTGATTGAAACTATTTCCTACCATTGTTGCTTCACTTCTTTATTTATTTATTTATTTTTTTTTGAAGAAATACAAATTGCATTAAAAGAAGAAAAACCTAATACAATCTATAAAGCAAAAGCAAACCCTTTAAAACTATCATAATGGATATGCGATCCACTAAATTTCATTTTAGATCCATTGGGGTGATGGAGATACCAAATATTAAAACAACCTAAAAGGTTGGTTAGTATTCCAGCTTTCCCAAAAGATGGAAAATGAAACCTAGTAAAAATCCCATATTGCATCATAATGGTTTTGGGAAGGTATAAGAAGCCTATAAGCAAAACAAGCAAATGATAACTAGTTTTAAAAAAAAATAAAAACAACTACTAAACCAGCTATCCAAAAATCAACCAGACCCCCATCAATCATAGGGTCCAACAAACTCCAATCAAAAGTAGAAATTGCTGTTGTTGCATCCACACAACCGACAACAGCCACCAAAAACGAAACAATCAATGACGGCAACGCAATAACACCATCTCCCTCCTCAATAGTCTAAGAGTCAGCCTCTTCACAAGCAAAGTCATACAAACTGAAAATCATCACCACAACCATCATACAGGCAAGAACAACACCAGTACTATTCCATTGTAAAACCATAACACTGACAACCACCTCAAGAAGCCAATAACCGACCTCATCATTGCTAAAGCCAACCGAACTAGTAATCATCACCACTCTCATCACAATGACAAGAGAAAAACCAAAAAACTTCAAATCCTTAAAGTCTTTAACCAATAAGACTTGATCTTCAAAGAACAACTGAAAAACAAGTGACCAAACAACCACCTCGTCATTACAAACATCAATCAACAACCTCCTCAACATAGTCGATCCACAGGCAGATCCTTTAAACGATCCAAACAATGTTGACGAAGCAATAACAACAGCTCCAACATCAATAGGCCAAGAGACGATTAAGCACAAGAATAGTTTCTCAAATCTCATGCCATCAGAAACGCCCCACAAAAGCTCCAAGTTTAGTAACCAAAACTTCCACTTAGCTACAAAACCTTGCTTAACGCAAACGTTCTCAAACTGATATCCCAAAATGAAATCCTTGGTCAATCCAAACAACGATAAGATAAAAGCAACAGGCAGCCAAAAAACTGCATAGACGACGACATTGGGAAATAAAACTGCACTTAACATAATATCCAATCCCTCGAAACTATATGAAGGATTAATTACACTTTCAGCTCCAATCTTTTGTTCCCTCTTGAACATATCTGAGTTGCTGGATAAAATAGCTTCAATTTCAACCAAGAAGCTAATATAAATTTCGCATAAATCCTTCCTGAAAAGCTGAAAATATCCAATAAAACCACTCAGATATCCACCAAAACCAACTAAGATAAAGAAAACCCGGATATGAAAAACCTTCCAGAAATCACGATGGTAAGGTGCGATCCTTACTAGGAGAATCACAAATCGCAACTGAACACAACTGATCAACAGAATCAAGCAATTCTCTTTTCCAAGCCTTATTGCAAGAAAACAATCAACCAAAAACCACTTCAAGAACTCCATTCTACACATATTCAGAAATGTAGAATCCACAAAAGGTTTACCACCAGAGAACCCTCCGTCGGCCACACCGGGCCGACGTACGAGCACCGCCAAAACGGCGGTCCGTTCAGATCTGCACCGATCGCTCAGATCACCCACTTCGCTCACTCCGATCAGATCGTTCGCTTCGATAGCTCCGTTCAGCTCCGCCTTGTCCTCTCTGCTCCGCTTTGCTAATCGAAAATTTGAGATGCCAAAGCTGCACCAAGGTGCTCCGTAGGCCTGAAACCACCGGATGCCAAAGAACCTCCAAAATTGCCAGGAATCGCTTCTCCGTCAAGATCGCCTTCTCCGCTCGCTTCTCCCAACTTCACCTCTTTATTCAAACAAGTCATTGGTCTAAACCTGAATTGTACAATGTCATGAACTCCTAAGATAACATTGTTAAATTTATATGATACAAGTAAATTTGCATGGGCCTTTGGTGCATATATTTAATGTACAAGAACAACAAACAACAACAACATCAAGCCTTTGTCCCACTACGTGGGGTCGGCCACATGAATCCTTCTTTGCCATTGTGTCCGGTTAAAAGTCAAATTCTCATTTAAATCTAATAAAGAAAGATCATTTCTAATATTTTCTAACCAAGTTTGTTTAGGTCTACCTCTACCTTTCTTAACATAAGTCAAATCTAATACCTCAACTTTTCTAACCGGGTCATCGAAAGGCCTCCGTTTAATGTGACCAAACCATCTAAGGCGACTCTTACTAATCTTATCTTCCACTGGAGCTACTCCAACCTTTTCACGAATATGCTCATTTTGTATCCTATCCTCATCTCTGCAACACTTAACTTAGTATTATGCTTCTCTTTTAATGGTGCATATATTTAATGTATTAAAGTAAAATTATGTTCTATTTATATGGCATTCATAATGCTTTTTTGCACTAGGATATTTTTCTCCGACAATATTTTTTAATACATCATTCATAACTTTTTTAATGTTTCACCCTATGTTTAAAATAATGTGCACCATACAATGCATAATGGCACCACAGAACCTCAACAGTAAGGTATAATTGGTATAGAAAAATATGCCTACATACTAGATCAACTTATTTTATTTAATTTGGTCTATCAATTAAGTGGAACAAAGGCTTGATGTTGTTGTTGGTCTACCACTTGTAATGTATTAAACACACAACACAACAACCATAAATAAGCCTCACTCACCCGAATCAACAACAATATCACCCACTAGAAAAATTTTTAGGTGAAATTTTGGTATCTTGCTCAAATAGGATGCTCTAGCACTTTATTAATTTTAATTTTTAATGATAGAAATATAAAGGACTGACAAATCTCATAGAAGTTTAGACTGAAATTATGTAATTTCAAAAGTAACAACAAAATCCAAGCAATTTAATAGCTATGACACTACTGTATTTTTCCTCTTAAGAACCATAAAAACTAAGAATAAAGGGCTGCCCAAATTTGGTTACTCTTATGATATATGCTAGCCCAACAATTGTCCATTAAATTATCACCATTAGACTTATTCCTATTATGTAGGGCCCACTTAAACTAATCCTTCGTAGTCAATACTATAAAAGTTGCAGTTGGTGTTAACTGTAGGCTGTATAAATCTTTATGCACACTATGTAGGCCTAATTTAGTAAATCATTTTAGCTGCTATGTTTTTAAGAAATGCAACATTTAACAAATATTATGTCTGTAAGAAACATGATAGAAAAAATCATTGAATTGTACGTGCACCTCCTTCATGGCCTCAAAAAACAGGAAACATAGAAGAAGATCTAGAAGAAGATCAGCTTGTCCTCTTAAAGGCTAGCAGTGACTTTTATACTAAACAACATAAAGCAACAACAAAATATTACTAAACAAAACTATGAATTAGTCTCCCTGACTCTGCGTATTTTCCTGCATATACTCTTCATATTAAATCAACTTGCTTTCTTTATAGGTGCAAGGTGTGCTCTTTGTTCCACATGCCCACAAACATTTCATGCCAATAATGAGAATAATTAATAATAAACAAAAAATATCCATTAGACTTACTCCTATTATCTAGGGACCTAATTCGCTAATCCTTCCTGCTCATTCATTATTTAAAATAATGTATTTGGAGTTAACTTTAGTGTAATAAAATCTTTATGCACAACATTCTGATTTAGTTTAGTAACTCCTTATCTGTTATGCTATTTTAAAAATGCAGCATTTAACAATTTTGAGGTTTACCAAATATGCAACGAAAAAGCACTATATTGAACATGAACCTCCTTCATTGCTTCACAACAACGGAAAACACATATAGATAAGTTTTTCCCTATCTCAAAGATAAGCAATCATTTTAGTTGTACCAAACAACATATGACAACATAGGACAACAAAATATTGCTAAAATAAATAAATTGTGATTTGTTCTTCCTGATTCTACCAAAATTTCCTTCATATACTTTTCATATTAAATATATGAAAAGTATATTAAGGAAAAATAGATTACATCAAGGATCAACCTTAAGCCCACATCTTTTTGCTTTAGTCATGTATGTTCTTACTAGAAATTTGCAAGAGGTTGTACTTGGTGTATGCTTTTTGCTGATGTTTTCTTCTTGTTCACAAGACTAGAGTGGGAGTTGAAGGTAAACTTGAATTAAGGAGCTCAACCTAAGAGTTTGAAGGTTTTCATTTTAGTAGATCTAAAATCGAATATATGGAGTGTAATTTTAGCAGTAATAGATCTAGTGGGGGATTATGATTTTGGGCGATCAAGTCATTGATAAGAGTATATGCTTTAGATATCTTGGGTTGATTGTTCAGAGTGACGGTGAAATAGATGCGGATATTATTAATAGAATTCAAGTTAGATGGTTGAAGTAGACGAATGCATCAGACTTATTGTGTGATAGAAAAGTTCCCCCTCAAACTTAAGGGAAAATTCTATAAATTTGTGGTGAAACCTGCAATGTTTTATGGTGTAGAATATAGGCCATTAAAAGAGAGCCATAACATTAAGTTAAATGTTACGTAGATGAGGATGCTCAAATGGATAAGTGACTTTACTCTTAGAAACAGGATACAAAACAAGCATACACAAAAGTTAGAGTAGCTCCTGTGGAAGATAAGGTTAGAGAGTCTCCTTACATGGCTTGGTCACATAAAACGATGGCATTCAATTAGGAGAGTAAATGTATTAGATTTGGCTTATGTCAAGAAAGGTAGAGGTAGACCTAAAAATACTTGGTTAGAAAAATATTAAAAATGACCTTTCTTTATTAGATTTAAATGAGAATTTGACTCTTAACAGAACAAAAATGGAGAAAAAAGATTGATGTAGTTGACCTCACGTAGTGGGATAAAAGCTTGATGTTGTTATTATTATTGTATACTTTTCATATTTAATCTATGTCACCTCGTTATGGGTGAATGGTGTGCTCTCTGTTCCACAGGCTTAAACATTTTTTAATGAAATAATGAAAATAATTAAAATAAACTATATAAATAAAAAATAACAATGCTATGCCATATATATATATAAAACATAGTATAAGCTTGGTAACATATATGAAGTTGAAAAATCACTACAATCAAATTTTACCACTCATTTGATGGATAACCGAAAAGCATGGTCCTTCAGTTTGGTATTCCACATAAATTTTCATGCCAACTAGGAGCTCCACAAGAGTATGAAATGCACAAGGGTTGTAACTTCTGTCAGTTCCAGTTCCTGAGTTATTACACAGGACATCAAAGAGACAAAAGATATAGAACAATAAAAAAAGTAAAAAGGAAAATGAAGGTTAAATTTACAATAGAAAGCATACCATAATTACTCTTGGTTCTTCTGCAACAGTCTGGCTGAAGAGATACAATCATAGGCTCATCATGAAACTAATAAAATGGGCAAAATAAACCTATCATAATCAGCCAGACTCTAATATAAAAGCCATGCAATCAACTAAGGCTTCGTTTGGGACGACTGTCTTATTGCTTCTTAAAACAACTTTCTAATACAAAAATTAAAATTTTTGTACTAGAAAGCTGTTTTAAGAAGCAGTTAGAAAGCTGTCCCAAACGAAGCATAACCCTAAAATTGTTCAGCTTACCACCAATCTATTCTCATTATCAATTTCATGCAGAGTGATAGCAGCATTTTCACTTTGAATTGAATTCTGTCCTGATGGTGTATCTAGATTGTTCTTCATTGGTAAGCATTCATTTGAGTCCTCTAATCTGATGCTGGATTTTCTGCAGGGAGATCTCAATGACGCACTTTCTAAATTATCAATCTTCTTTGCTAATGTTTTTTTAAGACTGTTTACTTCACTGGAGAGCTCATTTGCTGTTAAAACAGCACAATATTAAGGCTCAAATAAGTAATAAAACATTCTAATGACTATGAACTAGCCTTGTAGTTATATCACAATCAAATAAACTACATCAATATAGTACCCAAGCAGTAATCTTTAAATGTAAGATCACAGAAAATTTTAATATATGCCACATGTATTGACTTCAATAATCATAAAAACCAGTACATACATACATTAATTACATAGATAAATTATGTATCCAAAAAGCATCATAATCTTGTTGTGTATAATTTATTATGGAATTGGAGGGAATACATCTAATATCAAAATGAGGTTTATGGACTGAAGAAATGAAGTGAACGAGCTTGACAGATAAACCTTGAGATTCCCAGAACCATAGCGCCAACTTTAAATGGAAAATAAAAGGGGTCTAAACTATTTAGATACATTTAGAATGAAGCTATTATAAATCAAATAGCATAAGAATTTGCTTTGAACTCCTTTCATTCATTGGTAAACCTATATTATTCAATGATGCAAGGAACTAAATGTAGTAAACTTTGGCAAGTTTTCAGTATATAGAAGACTAATTTAGAATGAAGACTCCAAGCCATAGGGGAAATTATTAAATCCTGCCAATTCAAAAGATGAACATAAAACGAATAGGAACTAGACATTCAGTTAACAAAATTGTTACATACTTTTCTGTCTCTCTTTAAGCAGAAGCTCCTGGCTCTCTTGGTATTGCTTCTGCATGGAAACTCTGCAAACAGTCAACAGGTAACTTAGAATTTGCATGGTCTCTTATTTGATCTCTACGATAGCATGAAGTTTCTGGAAGATTTATCCACAATCACATCTATACTGATACTTACATCTTCACACGCAGTTTTTCATTTTCAGTTTTCAAATCTTCAATCAGCAGTTCAATAGCTGCAAGATAATTAACTATCAACCACTTAAAACTAAAATGACCCTCAAACTTAACTGAAGCTAACGAAAAAGAAAATAGAAAATGTTTACAACGACAAAATGAACTGTACAGATTTCACGCATATCATCAAGCATATTGCAAGCAAAAGAACGTGAGTCCAGCTTCCTCACTGCTTAATGCGAAATCAAGAAAATGGCGAGCTAAACTCTAGGAAACCACAATACCTGATTGATATTGCAACGTATCAGATATTCTTTTTTTATTACTGTCTTCAATTTCAGAGAACTTCCTCTTCTGCCGATCATAAGCCATGACAATATAAAACAAAATAGAAACATGAAGCAGATCATACTCCAGGACATAAAGATTGCTTTAGCTCACAGAAGCGATGGGAAAATACCTTGAGATTGATGTATTTTTCGTATAACTGGGAACTGAAGCGCTCCATTTACTCCTATAAAGTTGCGAACAAAATGAGCGTTATCGTACAAATAATGCCCTAGATCTATAAGAAGAGAAACCAAGAGCAGAATACCACGAATTGAGAGATGAAAAAGGGAAGCAGCAAGGAAGAAAATTGTGTGAATCGCAGACACGAAATTTGAATGCGCTTCAAATTCGGAAAACCCACCCAGCGAACAGGCAAATTATTGGGTGTGGAGACCGGAGGTCAGTTCGGTCTAGAATACAATAAGAATGATACACGTATAATATCAAAATAAATATCTTTATTTTATTTTATGTCACACAATTCTCCTTGGCCTATTGGTTGAGAGCTTAGGCTTCAAACTAAGAGGTTTAGGGTTCGAGTCTATGTGTATGCGTAGTGTGTGTGAGTTTGCCTTAAATGGCCTAAATGTCCCAAAACAAAAAATTTTATGTCTTTGTCAGCACGCATCAAATTATTTGTGAAAGATCCAAAGTGGAAATATTTAAAACCTAAGCTAGCTGTTCAAAATTGGAAAACAGGAAGAAATTGCTATTTTCGCTGAGATGGAATGCTCACACGACATGAATATTGAGCACAGATTTGAAAACTTTTAGGAATCGGAAGGTAGTTTTGCTGGATCAGCTGCTAGTTTGAACTTATCGATAAATTTCTATCTTATCCTAAGCTTTTGGAAAGGTTTCAAGCGATGTATAGAATTTGTTTGTGGTCTTATTAAAGTTGCTCCGAATTAAATGCACGTTTCAAAGAGTTCCTTTGCTTTGCTTTGCTTTGTATTGTGTTATACTAATATTGCTTGCTTTCGCTTTGTATTGTGTTATACTGGCATTGCTTGCTTTACTTTGTATTGTGTTATACTAACATTACTTGCTTTCAAAGAGATCATTTGAACTTATACTGTATTTTTGCTTATTTTTTACTACGTTTTTAATGTGCTTTCACTGTGCTTTCACTGCGCTTTCACTATGATTTTATTGTGCTTTTACTGTGTTCTTACTACGCTTTCTTCTTTTGTTCAAGTTGTATTTAAAAATGAAAAAGAAGTTTATGCTGCTTACTGCAATTACGCCCATCATAGTGGTTTTAGGCTTCATTTGGGATGGCTTTCTTACCGCTTCTTGAAGAACCTTTCTAGTATAAAAATTTAAATTTTTGTACTAAAAAGTTGCTTTAAGAAGCAGTAAAAAAGTCATCCCAAACAAATTTTTAATGTGTGCAAGGACCATCATAGTTACTGGCCAAATTCTAGAAAGATTAAATTCAATGACTTTGTCTATTCAAAAGATGGTTTCAAGAAGAGATTTGATCTTAATTCCCAAAAAAAATGTAGAAGATCTGAAACCAGAACAGGTCGTCCATCTTTGATCAGGTTTGCAATCGATGAATCTGGAAATTGGATTGTCAAAAAATTATTGAAACTCACAATCATGAATTGGCTAGGCCAGAGGACCGGCACCTCCTGAGATCATGTAGGAATATTGATGATGACAGAGCTTCCATTTTGAAGTCAATGATAGAAGCCAGGATTAGAACAGTTGATGCATTCTCATACCTCACTGAGGAAGTTGAAGGTGTTACAACTCGGGCTTCCGAGTTTATGATTTTGATGATAACAAATAATATTTATTAATCTCTTATTTCACGGGTCGGGTCCAGGTCGAACCCGAGTTGACCCGGATCTAAACGGGCCAACCCGAAACCGACCTATTTTTGCAAACGGGTCGAACATTTCAACCCGAACCTGACCCACGCGGGTTGCCGGGTGACCCGACCCGACCCGAGTGGCAGAAGGCAGAGTCCCGAACTGGGTTAACACTGCACCAGTGCGGACCACGCGACGGCGTGACGAAGCGACAGCGCGACCATGCAAGTTCGGGGCGCGGGCTGACCGGCTGAACGGATGAGTCCTTATGCGAGTGCGGAATTCGCACGTGAGCGCGGACTGGCAGAGTTCACACATGACTAGCGGACCGCAGATTGGCGGAGTTCGTACTCGAGTGCGGGACCGCGTCATTGCGTGAGTGCGACAGTTGGGGACGTCGCGAGTGCGGGTGGAAACTGGGTTGGTCTAGATTTTCGGGTCAGTATCGGGTTGATTTCGGGTTTTTGGGTCAACCCGAACTTGACCCGTTTTTGAAACGGGTCAAAAATCTGAAACCGAACCCGACCCGTTTGCTAAACGGGTCAACCCGAACCTGAATTTTTTCGGGTCGAGTTCGAGTCGGGTTTCTGGTCAGGTCAAAAATTGACACCCCTAACTAAAAGGGATGCATACAACTTCATTCAGAAGGAGAAAAGAGCATATATTGAATTTGGAGACACTAATGCCTTGATTTAATTATTTAAATATCGACAAGTTGATGACAACGTGTTTGCATGGGACGTCCAATTTGATGAGTTTGATAGATTGTTAAATTTTTTCTGAGGTGATGGGATGGCTAGGATAGATTATGACTGTTTTAGAGATGTGATGATTTTTTATACGAGCTATAGGCTTAATAAATATAATTTTGTTTGTGCCTTATTTGTCGATGTAAATTATCATTGACAAAATATTTTACTTATTGTGACCTTTTTGTCAGAGGAAATAATTGAATCATTTACATGATTATTTACAACATTCATATGAAGAATAGGTGATAAACATTCAATGACAATATTTACTGATTAGGACCAGGCAATGGCTAGGGCCATCGAAGTTGCACTACCCCGCACTCGTCATAGACTTTGCCAATGGCACATATCTAAAAAGGTTCCATCAAAAGTTGGGTGTTTCAATAGAAACAACAAAGTCAAAGGACTCTACTATAGGTGTTTGAATAAGTATGACTCTGAAGAGGAGTTTGCGAAAACATTGACTAAAATGATCATGGAATGAAACCTTCAAAACCATGAATGGTTGGGGGATCTTTATAAGATAAGGAGTAATTGGTTAACAACATTCCATAAGGACTACTTTAGCATGGGAATTCAATCAACGCAACGTAGCGAGTCTACTAATAATGTGTGTCATGACATTTCTAAGCCAATAAGCTCAATAACTGATTATTTTCTTGGCTTAGAGAAGATGATGATGTCCTAGCGCATGAATAAATAGGATGAGGACTACAAATACAGCTAGTTCGAAATAGTACCTATAATAAAAAGGAGCTTAATATTAAATCAAGCTATTCGATTTTACTCAAGAAAATTATATACATTTTTTTAGGATGAATTTCTTCAAGGTGTGGGTGAAATGAGCATAGACTATGTGTCAACTGATTCTTCAACTTTTTTAGTTAATTACACAGAGAATAAAGAACAATATACACCTTGCGTTATTCATTTTGATGAAATCGAATGTACAAATCAATGCACATGTAAAATGTTTGAAATAATAGGTTTATTATGTTCTCATTGTATGAGGGTTTTGAGGCAGCTTGATATTGTGAAAAACTCTGAGAAGTACATATTGTTGCGATGGTCAGCAAAAGCTCGAAAATGTATATATTCAAGTAACTTGGGAAAATGTAAAGGAACTAATATCTTTGAATGTCATAGTGGACTCATATTCAGAAATCATATTAGCAAATTTGCATATCAAATAAGCACGCAAGCTCAAGGGAATGAATTGGCTGAACAGTATATGTTGGATGCAATTAAAGACATCATTGAAAATATAGACTTGCTTTTAACAGGAAGATTAAAAATCATAAGTTTGTTGGAAATACAAAGAGTAGTGATGTTCCAAATGCAAAATTTAAAGATCCACTAAAACGTAGGCCTAAAGGCATCTCTAATGCAAAATTGAAGGCCTATTGGGAAAAGAAGAAGTAAAAAATTAGGAGTTATAATTAATCATAATTTTCACTATGCTTTTATTGTGATTTCACTACGCTTTTATTGTGCTTTTACTGTGCTTTGTTGTGTTTTTACTTTGCTTTTAATGCGATCATTTTTTTTATTATTATTTTACTTATCTTAATTTTTTCAACAGAGATACCTATTATGAATGAAAAAATAACAAAAATAGAAATTCCTTCAACAAAACAGGAGAAATACCCTAGCATGCCTAAATGCTTCACTAAGAAATTCATGATCAGGTCTGTAACAAGAGAGAAGCTTGCAATAAGAGGGATACCAACAAGAGAGACGGGGGCCGAGTACACAAGAATGATGATGGATATGTTTCCTTCAAACTTGTCATTTTATTAAACTCAATTCGATTGTAATATTTTAACCATATGATTGTACTTAAAGTTTGTACAAAAAAATAAAAGATTTTGTATTGTAGGCACACGAGTATCAATGATTTATTAGGTAAAAAATTCTGTTACATTTTGTTCGACTTTGATTTTACTGTGTTTTTACTGTGCTTTTGCTGCGTTTTTACTGCACTTTTGCTGCGCTTTTACTACGCTTTCGCTGCGCTTTTACTACGCTTTTACTGCACTTTTACTATGCTTTACTGTGCTTTTCCAGCTCTTTATCATAAACATCAACTAAAAATATACAATTAATAAAACACAAAATATATAGTTAAAAATATACAATTTACATTGACATTACAAAATTATCAGCATTTACAATTTTACTTGATCATTGTACAAAAAAGTTCATATGCAAATTCTGCCCTCAACTTTGGCATATATTTTTGCCACTATTTATAAGATGCCCAGTCCATTTTCTTTCAAAGATTGACTTTCTATATATATTTGCAGACAAACATTCCGCAGTCAATGTTGTTTGATTTAGTTGGAATTCCATGGACAGTTTATAAATTCTAACTTGTTATTTCGATTCTAAAGGAACCTGTCACGTCTTCTTGCAAGAAATTTATCTAAAAAAATTAAACAATTTTAAAAACATTTGTGGCCATATTGAGAAAATAAGTTGCATACAATTATATCGGACTTGAACTTACAACTTTATAACATATATTCTTGTGTTCTGGATTGGGTAAGGAATCATATAATTTCCCAACTTTTTCTTTAACCTAGCTATAATAAGGATCTAATGCTTACTGAAGATAATGGGTTGAATAATAAGATTGCTTTCTTTAACCGAATTATGATTGTTGTGTTGGATGAATATATGGAATTTTTGTTTGTAATCCTTGTATACCTATAATAAGTCAGCTATCTAAGAAAACTAATGTGATTAATATATTATAAATAAGATTTCTACTAA